CAGGTCCCTTCTGACCCTACAAACTATGAAACTATGAAAAGATAACTTTTACATTGAGTTAATGAACAATAGTACAATAGTTAGACTGTGCAGAGGTTCTCCATCCCTTGAAGTATTTAAAACATCAGGTATTATTTAGAAGCTAAAACAAACCTGTTTCTCCTTTGGATTTTCCCACATTTATCTATGAAGTCCAAATCTTCAACAATAATATAGAAGGATAAAGAGTGTCTTGCATGAAGGCAGTGTGGAGATCTCATGATTTACCAAGATTGGAAAAACTTTAAAAATAAGAACCACCCAGCTATTTCATCAATGGGCAGAGAAGTATTTAAAAATGGTATAGAGCAACTAGGCAACCTTCTTATTCATTTATTGAAGTGCAGGCAAATCTCTTTTTAAGACCAATGAACTCAAACACATGCAAAAAAGAGTTTTCCAAAGAAATTCTCTTGTGTCCCAGGACTTTGAGCCAGGATTCTGTGCATTTAAGACAGAGATAGGATCATGACTGCCACACTGAAATAGTAAATAAAAAGTCTAGATTCCTGCTTAGCTCTTGCCAACTTTTTTTTTCTTTTCCTAACATAATTCCTGTGTTATGAACACATATTTTTTCAGGTTTCTCTGTAACAGAAAACAAATGCTGGCTGCAAGAGACATAAACTGAACAGAATGTAATGTTAATTTTAACCCATTTAATTTGACTGAGCATGACGCCATCCATAAGTGGAAAGGTATAGTTTGCCATATTAGTCTGAAGTCAGGGTAAGATAGCATTGCAGTCTTTATGGGCACCTACACATGTACAGAGGCTGCTCCGATGCATTGTAATTACAACACGTCAGAGAAGACTTGATTAATCGAGTCTGCTGGAGCTTGTTAATTACTTGCTCCAGCAGACTCCAGTGTCATGTGCATCAGAGTCCCCATGCTGAAAAATGGTAGCAGAGATGCTTTAACTAAAGCTTGTTGAACAAGCTTTAGCTAAAGCACCCCCGCCACCATTTTTCAGCTTGGAGATGCTGATACACGTGATGGTTCAGGCACTTTAATTAGAGAGGCTCTCTGGAGCTGCTCTAATTAAAGCCCCCCTGCCACACACATCCTCCAGAGTACATCTATAAAAGCCCTACAATGCCACCCTATCTTTCTGAATATACTCCAATATTTACTTACATACTATACAGGCACAAATAAAACATACACCCCGTTTTGGGAAGGCAGAATGCAGAAAAGAAAAAGAAAAAGATTTTTCCAGAATTATGGCGAACTCTGTAAAATAGTGTGGCAACCCAAAAGCTGGTCTGGCTGAAGCAACAGTAACTTCCTGGTGGGGCAGGAGAACAATGAGGATACTCACAGACCCTTGTAAGAGCAGAAGCAAGACTGCTACTTGGTTTCTGTGAATAGTATATTTTATACAAGTTCCTGTAAAGACTACAGTGTGTGTTTCTGCATCACAAGCCTTATTACTACAGACTGCATGCAGCAGCTCACTTGCCCTGAGCTACAGTGCTCTACAAACAGTTACTGCAAATGCCTTAGCAGCTGCGAAAGGGTTAACACTGGCCTTTTCCCTTTCTGAATGATGGCCATAGAGAAGTGGCAGCCAATCTGGCAGCCACTGAGGTATGCTTCTATTCCAGCAAAGAGAGATCAGCTTTCACACTTAAGACCCACACTCCAGTTTTGGAGGACTGATTCTAAGGGAACTGGGTGCAAAAAGTATGTAATTAAATATGGTAATATATTACTGAAGCTCAGAATTTTAATAGCCCTGAAAGGGCAGTCTTCAGCTCTAGCAACTCAGCCTTCATTAGCTAAAGAGCTTGTTGGTTAGTGAATGAAATGACTGAGAACTATAATAGAAACAATTTACTGTATTTAAAACACGAAATCCCATGTAACAAGGACCTGTTCCTGCAAGGTGCTGAATATCATGCAGGGTAGGAATTCCTTTAAAGCAATCACAGTTAACATAGCCCTCAAGCAAAAAGTTAACCTAGGCTATGACCTCTTGGGGAAGGGAAAGGACTGCATTGTTCTGGTTCTGTGTAGCCCTGAGCACAGCAGGGTACTGAGCTGTAACAGGGGCTCTCAAAGGCTGCTTCATTAAAAATAAGAACAAATGATAATAGAAGTTATACCTAAAGATCTCCCTTTGTATACAGAGAAGGTGGCTGTCTCCCAGATCATGAACTGTGTGGCCACACTTGTTTGCACTTTTGGCAAGCTAACTAGAACCGTCACACATCTGTCCTTATCAGCCTGCCAGATGGTCTGTATGGATGTGGCCGCCATTGTTTCTGGTCTTGAGAACAGCCCACCTGGTGTAGTGCAGTGTCCTTGAGGATATCACTCTGAGGCATGGTTAAATTTACCAAGCAGACACGGCTACCAGTAGAAGTGCATATTTAATGCACCATTTGTAATCTCTGAGGAAGTGAAAGCATTTGAAAAGCACTAATTTTGCAGAATCCTCAGCAGATTTGGCACAAATTTAGGAAGAACACAGTGCAGCAATACACCTTATAGATTAACTGAAACTGAGATGCAAAGGTTTTGGTGATAACTGATAAAATGAGCTGTTACTCAAGAAAGTTTATTCATCTCTGATTCACTTCATTCATCTGTGGCTCACTATACTCTGATGAAAGATGAGATGAGAGGGGTAATTAGCCTTGTTAGTCTGAAGTCAGGCCAAAGGCAGGGTAAAGGTGCACCTCATCATTGACTGATTGAAAACTACCATTGATTTATGTAAAGTTGAGGGATCAAGGAAAAGAGTCTTTTCCTACATGTAGGATCCTTCTTTGGAAATGCGAGCACCTGTATGTTTCCAATGCCAGTGCAAAAAAAGTCATCCAACATCTAAAAGGGGAAAAAGAGAAGCACAAAGTTCTACATATAAAAAATCTAGTCAACATGATGTCTATTCTGGGAAGCTTTTTGAAAAAATAAAAATATTTTGCTCATAAAAGACAGATGGTCCTGACAAATTTACTTCACTTAATGTATTAAGTACATTTAAGCCTAGGATTCTAAAACATCTCACACAGCAGAATAGCACCAGTCTCAGAAACCTGCAAAAAAAATATCAGTATCAACTTTCAGCTTCTCCATCTCCTTAATATAAGAAATTATTAGGTTTAAAAAGTGAAATAACAATATAAAAATTTTTTAAAAAGCGATACCCCAGGATATGGTATTATAAACACAGCGAAGTGCCAGTATAAACCCTTATTCAAGAGACTGGGTTCTTTGTCAAGCAGTACCTTTCTTCCAAAACATCCTCACTGCCATATGTCTGCACCTAGCCAGCTGCAAGCTTAATAAGAAAGTTCTTATTCATGCTGTATAATGTTTTACAGGTTTGCCACAGGGGTCACTTGCTGCGAGTCATTTACGTCACAGCTCTAACAGACTAATAGCTGAACAGAGCCAAGAAATGTAGGTTGCTTCAGGATGGGGGCAGGGGAGAGGAAGGAACAGGGCATCACACTCAAAGCTGAGCTATTTCTTCTCTTTGCCACTCAGCACAAGACTATTTCTTTTCTTTACCACTCAGCATTAAAAGCAAAGCAATTGTTTTAGATGTATACATTTTTATACTTGGAAAAGAGAAATATAATATACCCATTTATATGAAAAGTATTTAAAAGGTCTCTATGTATTTTTTGCAAATATTATCCTCTGCCTCAAAATTCAGCTTTAGTCTGTGATTGTGCTGAGCCACTCACTAATTTTTGGAGTGCAACTTCTTTGTCAGCATCCTTGAAATTCCTGAACTGTTTATAAAATGCAATGATACACATATTGTGCATGTTCAACAGGAGGCATCAGTACTTCAGAGGGTTTTCGAAAGTAAACAGGCTCTCTGATATCCAGCTCTGCTAAAAGGAGCACAGTCCTACCCTCACAACTTACCTCTTTCAAGACCCTGGTCTGACTTTGTATACTGCATTGAATCAGTGTCTACTGATAGAAGGAAAGTGTCTTTCAAAACACTTAGGATTATTTCAGTACAGGATTGTAGGGGAAACAAATTAAGACAGTGAAGTCTTTCACAGATGCCTGAGACTTGATCCAGAATTTTGACTGGAATCACCAGCGTATCTCCTCCACGTGTGTGTGCATGCATGTTTAAATAGTACAACAGGAATAAGAGGAAAAGGTGGAAACCTGCTCCTCCAGCTGTTAGAACAAACCAATCACTGGATCATGGAAACCTAGGAGCAGAGGTGACCCAAGCAGGGTGCAGGGCCTGGTGCAAGTCAGCCCATGCAGGGCCCTGCCCCTGCTTTGATCCCATGGGCCCCAGACCCCAAGAAGCTGCTGCTGCCATCGGCAGTGTCAGCAGGCGGGCGGCAGGGGGGAGCCAATGGCTCCACCCAGCCACTGCTCTATGGGGCCCAGGGCAGTTGTCCCAATTTGTGCCCCCCTAGGAACAGCCCTGCTTAGGAGCATCAACCAGTGGCACACTAAATGTAGAGCTGCTGTTGTGAATTTCTCTCTGCCTTGTTGATATAAACACCTATTATCTAAATTCCCAATAACTAAGCGCCTCATTACATATTAATTTTAGGTGGATCCTGGAGCTCTTAACTCCTGGATTACCCACACATTAACACCTGAAACTGGTTTTAAGCATACTTTAGGCAGCTTAAAGTTACCACTCCAGGGCAGGTTTATCTCTGATCTGTGTTACCCAGCTCCTTTTCCATTAATGTGTGGCCACTGCTCACAGATGAGCTGCCAATGTTGCTGTCCTCCAGCATCTCAGGATGCAGTGTCCCTTCCTTGACCCTCCTGTTCGGTGTGGACAAACTTTCTTCCTCTGAACTCAGACAGCTCTGGCACCAACCCAACTCACCTCCTACCCCCAGAGTGTGACCATCCCAATCCCATGCAAACAGTTTGCAGAGTACATGCCAGCTACCCAAGTGACAGGGCATGGATGGGTGCAGGAGTGGGATCTGATGGGTGGGGGGAAGAGACAAGAACAACCCTCTATTGGGTTCCCATGAGCTGGGGCTTCCTTCCTGGGGCAGAGGCAGTAGCTCCCCCCAAAAAGTGCCTTCCCTCATCACTCCCACCTCCCAACCAGCCCCAGAAGCACAACCAGCACCCCCCACACTCCAGTCCCAAATCCCAATTTAATAAAACATAACATCTTTTTTAATTGACTTCCTCTTTATTTCTTTTTACATTCTGTTTATTTTATCCTTCAGTGGCTGACTTCCCCATCCCCATTTCCTTTCTACCTCCCATGTTATTACCCACCCCATCCTATTAACTCTTCACCTCCCAGCTGCATGTTCCTGAAGCTCCCCTCCCCCCTTCTCCAGCTCTCACATACATCCATCTAGAGCAGGGATAGCAGCCTATCCACACTCACCAACCCTGTAGTGGCAACTCACAGCTATGCAAATAGGGGATATTTAGCAGGTGGAAGCTGCTTTTAGCCTAAAGGTGTGACTGCTCTCCACTCGAGCTAGCCCTAACACTGATCAGCATTTAAGCAGCTTAAAGTGCAGCAAGAAATAAGGCCCTAAGTAAGGACTGAGAAAGGATCTATTAATCATTTATTTGTCAGCATTTCCGGGACATTTGGTTTTAAGTATAGAATCTCTGTAAAAGAAATGCAGTCTGAAGCACTTTTAATCCCAGGTCTTTTAACAAAGGTGTGTATTTAGTTGGGTGAGGAGGCTCTTTATTTTTGTATTTTTCAAATGAATGAAAAGATTTTTCCCATCAGATTAGTGCAATAGATCCATAACAGGGTTATCTTGGCCCTGATGCTCATCAGACTTTATCAGATTCTACCAAATCAATTGAGGCACATGTAAATTTTACCTTATGAGGTTATAAAACAATGGAAAATGGGTCAGGCATAGAAAGGCATGGACCATACTACCAACTTAAAGTATTGAAATACCAAGTTCATGAAAATATTGAGTGTTTCAATATTTTTATGCAGCTAAGAATGTAGGGACACAACCGAGTGCCTGGGGCAAGGAAGAAACAGCAACTTTGGTTCATGATAACAAACACAAACAGGCAGCTGCTGGCAGCAGCCACTTTTTGTGTTCCCCCCTCCCTGCTAGGGGCATCCCAGGTAGTTGCCCCCATCTCCCTCCACTTAGTTACACCACTGCCCTGCAGCACATCCTCTGACACGACTTGTGATTTCAACAAGTCTCAGAATACCTAGTGTTTTGCTTAATGCTCTAGCATGTGGAGTAATGTGATTAAATTTGAATCACAGAATGTGGGGCTGGAAAAAAATCTCAAGACAGCATCTAGCAAATGTTTGTCTAACTTGCCCTCTGATTATGAATAGCTTCTTCCTAGGGATATAAGCAGTTAAATGACGATTATATTTATACCATTTACCACTTACCATTAATTGTTTAGTGACCTCCAGCAGGAAGGGCCCCAGCTCCTTATGGTTTCATCATGCCCCTGGCTCTACACAGGCCCCTGGCCGCTGACGGGGAGCCGTGGGTGGGAGATAATGAGCACGGCTGAACCACTAGGGGCCACTGCCCAGTTAGAGCTGTGGCTTCCCCTTGTCTTCACGGGCAGGGGCTAAGGATGTGGATGGAGCCAGGGCTGCAGACGTCTCCTGTGCCTGGATTCTGTCACCATGGCAGGGCTGGGCCTTCCCACCACAGCAGCGAGCCCCCCTGCAGCGGTTGGGCCCGAGCATAGCAACAGGCCCCCTGTGCCTCCTGCCATGCTTGTGCTACTGTGGCCTGGACCTGGAAGGTTTCTCTTTGCTGCTGGGCCCTCCCCAGCTCACCTTGGGGGAAGGGGAGGTCCAGTCCCAATGGGGTGACCTCTGGCAGGTGCACTGCAGCCCCACCCTTTTTTCCATGGCACTGGGGCTGCATGGGGCCTGGCCCAGCCTTCAGGCAGAGCTGAAAGTGTGTGTGGCGTAGCCCAAGGAGATGCTGCAGCAGCTGGAGCAGGTGGTGCCAGGTCTATGGGGTCACTGCTGGCTCCTTGCATAGCGAGTGTGGCCCCAGGGCATTTCTGAGGGGTGGCAGCACAGCAGGGATACCAGGGGGAGCATTAGGGCTGCAACAGTGGAGCTGCTATGCCATCATCCTTCAAGATAGCCCTGGGGCTGAAGTCATTGTACAAGAGACCAGCAGTGACAACTCAGACCCAGTGACACCTGCTCCAGCTGTTGTGGCACCTCCAGGCCAAGCCAGCCATGTACTCAGCCCCACCTCAGGGGTGGACCAAGCTCTGCATGGCCCCAGCACCACAAGAGGGAGGGGGAAGGACACAGCATGCCTGGCAGAGGCTGCCCTGCTGGGATATGATCTCCTTTTCCCTGGGGCTAGCGGAGAAGTACCAAACCAAGCAGTGTGGAGAAGCCTTGCAGGTCCAGGCGACAGAAGCAAGCATGGTGGGAAGCACAGGGAGCTCATCACCCTGCCTGGGCCCTACTTCTGTAGGGGGGTCAGGCAGATCCACTGCAGGGCCTGGAGTCTTGCTGCTGTGGCAGGAAGGCCCTACCTGACCCCTGTGGGGGGGCTCAACACCTTCCTCTCCATGGCTGCAAGATCTGGGGACAGAAAAGGTCCACAGCTCTGGCTCCCTCCCCAGCCCCAGGCCCTGCCCATGGGGGTGAAGGAAAGCCACAGCTCCACAGCTGGCTGGTGCTTCTTAGTGGCTCAGCTGCACTCACCACCCCCTACTAGTGGCTCCCTACTAGCTGCCTGAGGCCTGCACAGTGCCAGGCACATGGTAAAGATAAGGGGCTAGGGCTGGGGCCATTCCTGCTGGACGTCATTAAACTATGAGCTATTGGTTAACTGTTTAACCAGTATAATTAGAGGATGTTAAATTAATGTTTTTCACAATGATATTTACATCAGCGTTTCCCAACCTTTTTCACCCCACTGCACACTTACCTAAACAAAAAAGCACCACAACACAATGGAGGTGGGGGAGCGGTGCGCATGGTCAGCTGGATGGCATTTTGGGCTGGAGCCATGTCCCCTGCCTGGTTATAGCCATGCTCCCTGTCTGTTTGTGTCCACAGCAACAGCAGGCGGAGGGTGTGTCGCCAGCCTAAAATGCTGCAGCACACCAGTTGGGAAATGCGGATTTACATCCCTAGTTCTTCCTGACACAAGAAAGTTAACAGGCTGCTATGTTAGCCCACAACAAACCTGTGCTGGCTATCCCTTAGGATGTTGGCCTCGGCCAGTCCATTAAGGATGGCCTCTTTAATAAACTTTTCTAAGATCTTCCCCAGGATAGAAGTCAG